CATTAATAATAATATAAAGTCATTAACTATGAATATATTTTGTGCAATTATCTTACTGTAACTGTTTCAAAATTCGCAATCTAATCGTCATTATTATTATTATTATTATAATTATTACCATACCGTACGAATTTTACAATTAACGCAATCAATCAACAGTTTAACATACATTAGTCGAACTAATTAACGGTCTGCGATGATTTTTGTTACAGTGAAGAGGTGGAACGTTGCCAAACGTGGAACAACAACATTACTCAGCAGATAGACTTAGCTTTCAATATATTTTTTATGGTCTACTTTTTTATACGCGTAAGTGTCAACAGTTTATTACAACCTAGCTAATGGAAAATTTAAAAATCATCTGGCACGTGTTAAATATCCAGATATATATTATATCACTTGTTCCTGATTTTTAATTCGAAAAATCAGATGCTACATATAAAAAATATTGAGATAATTAAAACATATAAAAAATTGTGATAACTGGATTTTCAAAAATTTATTTTTTTTTGTGCAATTTTTGTACAATGTGCTTCATCGGAAAGTTAAACAAAAATCAAAAACAATGCTTGTAATAATATTTTGATAGTATAAAGATGTAAATATTGTACCTTTTGACTTCTATGAGATATTTGAAAAAATTTTTAAGCACTTTCGTTTTTAATCTTTTTCTTAAATAAAAAACATTGCAAAAATTCTCTAATGTCTGTTTCTGTAGGTACTACGTATATTTCTTAATTTTTTGCATACAGTTAAATAATACAAGCAACCGAAACACTAGTTCTTCGATTTACCCCTATAACTATTTTTCTGATCATCATACGCGGTTGAAATTGCCCTCGGTATGTCTCATTTTGATAGTTTATCGATCAGATTACCGTTAATCTAATCTAAAAAGAGAAATGTCGCCTTTTAAACTTTCATAAGACACATGCATATTGTCAAAAATCTTATCTTTCTTTCTCCTGAAAGATATATTTTGTATCTTATCAAATTCTCGAATTTTTCATCAAAAATGAAAAAAAAACGTCGTTTAATATACATAATTCTACAGCTGTCATAACATGCCGGACTGTTTTTAAATTTTCACAGACAATTTTACGGTAAAAGCAACCGAAGAACCGATATTTCCATTTGTCCCCGTAACTACCCTTCAGATCGAGATACGGGGTTGAAATTTTGCTCGGCGACGATTGTCCAGACGCTATCGTACCAACGAATCGATTCGATCGGGACTTATAAAAATAATTTGTTTCTCTGTCGAACAGTTTATCGCCGCCAGTGACAAGCTGTGGTTCATGCTGGAGATGTATTCGTTCGTGGACTACTTTACGATACCACCGTCCTTCGTATCGATATACCTCGATCGGACGTGGATCGGACTGAGGTTCCTCCGAGCCCTACGACTGATGACGGTCCCTGACATCCTCCAGTACTTAAACATTCTAAAGACATCGAGCTCCATTCGTCTCGCCCAACTCGTATCAATCTTCATCTCCGTCTGGTTGACAGCTGCTGGCATCATTCATTTGGTACGATATTACAAGCACCGCACTAAAATCATAACAATCGTCACGCCGTTCCAAGAGACACGAATCAATTTCGCATATAAACTTATATATAATTATTATATATAATATAATAATAATGATATAATAATACTGATATTAATATTAATTATTAATTTAATATTATTATTAATTAATATTAATATAATATATTAGTATTATATATATATATTGCATATTATATTTATATATAATTATTATATATATTTCGCATATATATAATTGACTTCAAGCAAAAGGTAAACCAACTTCGAACCATTAGAGTCAAGATATTAAAGTGTAAAAATTATCTGTTTGTTCTAAATCACAGCTGAATATGCGACTTTACACGTCTCTGAGGCTACAGTGTTAAAACAGAACGGTTTCCTAATTTCCAAACTACAATCGCCCACAAAAGTGTTTGTACCTCTTTCAAAACGCAATAAATTCTTCAAAATTGAAATAAATAACTTGATTTTTTTAGATGATAGATTTTGCTATTACTTTGAATGAGAAGAAAAAAAATTAAACACCCTTGTTGTTTATTTTTTTTGTATACATTATTCATTAATTATTATTACTAATATTAATTAACTTTTTGATCAAAATCGGTTAACCCAGAGTCGAGCTACAAGCGTTGAAGGATTTTAAAAACTGCAAATTTCTTAGTTTTTGTCCAAGATCGTGATAAAACTGCGATTTTTACGATCTTCAATTTGTTGTAATTTACAACAACGTGAACCGATTTCGATAAAATTTTGTAAACATTTATATAAGTTATCGAGATCTACGAAATACATTTCCAAAATTTTTGTTATGGACTCAGATAAAAAAGTTAAAAAAGCGTGAGATTTTTATTTTTTGGTCATTCCAAGTAATAGCAAAATTAACAAAATGAGCATTTCAGTCATCGTCTAGTATACTAATCTCTCTATAATCTAAAAAAATTCAAGTTATTTAACTCAATTTTAAAATAGTTATTGTGTTTTAAAAAGTGTACGAACACTTTCATGGTCCATTGTAATAAAAGTACTATTTTATCTGTTGAGCTTATATCAAGCGTCACTCTAGTTCAGCGTTGTCCACGGTGTAAACCCCTCGCGCGCCGACTTCCCCCTCCACTCGCCGCGCACAGCGGTCTGGGAATTCACTTTCTGTGGCTTATATTATTTTAGCGTTGCTTCAAGGTTTGAGATTATCGTATAGTAAGGTTAAATTGTTGAATTCATCTCGCCAGCTAGAATATTAACATTTTAAGAGTCGCGGTGACCAGCATTTTTTTATAAACAAACGGGTCTAAAACAGAAAATAACGGCCAATGTCTACACTCGTTCGTATAGAAAAAGTCCTTCACTGAGCATTTTAAAACATTCTTTTATAAACTCTGTCAAAGTTTAAATTGTTAAAAACCTAACCATTTTTCCAGATGGGATAAAAAATGCTTTTGACGCATGATATTTTGTTATTTTATTGCTAATGATATTTTTTAACGAGTAATTAAAATAATTCAATAATAATATTTTATATTATTGTTTTTTTTATATTTTCTTATTCTATATATTATTATTATTATATATATTTGTATTTTATATTATAATATATTAATAATAATAATAATAATAATTAATAATCTTAATTTCATATTTGTTTTGCCTTAACAACACTGTATCTAACAGAGTTGTACAGGCTTGTTAATATTCTGTTCCAATTAAAGTTCCGAAGAGTCGTCGATGCATAGGAGAACAAATTTTGTTCAAACATGAAAGTTGAAAAATCGAATGTTGACCAGAAATGATCGTTTCCCAGACCACTGCGTGCTGGCTTCCCCCTCCATGCTCGCTTCCGCTGAAGCAGCAGAGCTACGGTAACAAGCTCCTCCGTCATTTTCGCGCCACGCGGCGCAGTGGTGGGGATAGCGTCCGTCTCCTGTGGACAGCGCTGCTCTACGATACACGATTGTTTCCAAAGAAATTCCCTAGATTCGTAATCCATCAAATATGTCCAACTAAAAAATTAATTGTTCCGAATTGTTCACAGCTTGAAAACTCAGGGGACCCATTAGAGTTCACGAACCCGCAACAGCTCTCGTACTGGACTTGCGTTTACTTTCTGATCGTAACGATGTCCACGGTAGGATATGGCGACGTTTACTGCCAGACGGTCCTCGGCCGAACATTCCTAGTATTTTTTCTACTCGTCGGTTTGGTAAGCCTTCTTTCTGTCATCCTCTGTTCTCTACATAGCTAAAAAGTATCGGAGTTCGATATACTTACGTATATACATACATATACATATATATATATATATATATATATATATATATACATATATATACTATATACATCTATCTATATCTATATAAATTACCAGAGAAATATAAACCGCCCTTTGTAGATCACTATAGGAATCTCGCGTGAAAGACTGAATGGCCTGGGCAAAAAAGAAAAGAAATCTAATGATGTTTCTGTTTTTCTTTCGAAGTCCACCAATCTTTCGAACAGGCGATTTCGTTTTTCCCCCCGAGAACACGTCGGACTCTGCGCTTCAAAATTGTATCGTACAATCTCGTCGATACCAAAAAAGCAAAGGACAAAAAAACGGAATCACTTTCGAATTTTCTCAAAAAATGTTGTCGACACGTTACAGAAAAATTGATTTTGAACCGTCAGAAATTCGTGAAACGCACACATTTCGAGATAAACCGCGGCAGTTTCGTTCGACGAGATAACAAAGGATTCGAATTTCACGGTCGCAGAGTTCGTTAGAGTAGAATTGTCGTGATCGCAGCCTTGTCAATGGTCGTATTGTTAGTGCAAAACGCGATCGAACGTTCGCCGATTAATTTTTACCGATGCCCAAAGTATATTGTTCGATGGCGCACCGGCGACTATTTCGTTCGAAGTCTTGTTTTGCTTGAGACCTTTGATGGCTGATTTCTTTCTTTTTGGTTGGCAGACACGTTGTTGATTTGTTTTGGAGGTATTCCGACGTTTCTTAGACTGTATGTTGTTTAGAGTTGTACTAATAATACGTCTGTAGATGAAATTGGCAAGGTGAGCGATGAACAAGAGAATTACTCTTCCCCAGACACACAAGACGGTGAGCATTTCGAATGCACAGTGTCCTCTGATTGGTGGCTTTGATAGTTGCTTTTGTTAATCATTTTATTGGTTTTTTTTACTGGAATTTTTATTCCGGTCTAATTTGGCGAGAACGATGGTTTTCGGTGCAATATGCAAAATTACGTGCAAAATTTTCTTAATAATTTTTACGATGACAAATTTTACAAAATTGTCTGCGACCAATTTCTTTTTCATATCACGCATCGACAGTCCTGTGGGTTCGACGTCGATCTCACGCATTATTTTNATATACTTACGTATATACATACATATACATACATATATATATATATATATATATATATATATATATATATATATATACATATATATACTATATACATCTATCTATATCTATATAAATTACCAGAGAAATATAAACCGCCCTTTGTAGATCACTATAGGAATCTCGCGTGAAAGACTGAATGGCCTGGGCAAAAAAGAAAAGAAATCTAATGATGTTTCTGTTTTTCTTTCGAAGTCCACCAATCTTTCGAACAGGCGATTTCGTTTTTCCCCCCGAGAACACGTCGGACTCTGCGCTTCAAAATTGTATCGTACAATCTCGTCGATACCAAAAAAGCAAAGGACAAAAAAACGGAATCACTTTCGAATTTTCTCAAAAAATGTTGTCGACACGTTACAGAAAAATTGATTTTGAACCGTCAGAAATTCGTGAAACGCACACATTTCGAGATAAACCGCGGCAGTTTCGTTCGACGAGATAACAAAGGATTCGAATTTCACGGTCGCAGAGTTCGTTAGAGTAGAATTGTCGTGATCGCAGCCTTGTCAATGGTCGTATTGTTAGTGCAAAACGCGATCGAACGTTCGCCGATTAATTTTTACCGATGCCCAAAGTATATTGTTCGATGGCGCACCGGCGACTATTTCGTTCGAAGTCTTGTTTTGCTTGAGACCTTTGATGGCTGATTTCTTTCTTTTTGGTTGGCAGACACGTTGTTGATTTGTTTTGGAGGTATTCCGACGTTTCTTAGACTGTATGTTGTTTAGAGTTGTACTAATAATACGTCTGTAGATGAAATTGGCAAGGTGAGCGATGAACAAGAGAATTACTCTTCCCCAGACACACAAGACGGTGAGCATTTCGAATGCACAGTGTCCTCTGATTGGTGGCTTTGATAGTTGCTTTTGTTAATCATTTTATTGGTTTTTTTTACTGGAATTTTTATTCCGGTCTAATTTGGCGAGAACGATGGTTTTCGGTGCAATATGCAAAATTACGTGCAAAATTTTCTTAATAATTTTTACGATGACAAATTTTACAAAATTGTCTGCGACCAATTTCTTTTTCATATCACGCATCGACAGTCCTGTGGGTTCGACGTCGATCTCACGCATTATTTTCTTCAACTGGCCACAACGTCGAAAAAAAGGGGAGGGGGGAAGTTCACGTTTCGCGAAGTACATTAAGGGTTGTAACTTTTGTTACGTCAAAAAATCACAAAAAATTCAAGCTTTCCAATGATATGCGGTTTCATACACTTCCTTCGTTAATTACGTAAGTCGTTTACAATTCTTGCATTTTTTATTTGTTAAAATATCGAGCACCGTTGCTGTTTCTTTAAGAAAAAATCGTCTGAGATTAACCAAAAATTCATCATTACACTCTTTCTAATAGCGTGCGGTGCTTTTTAGGCGTTCGCTTCGTTTTTGAATTATGCTATAATAAATGTTCAAAATAATTAAAATTGGAGTCATGCAAATCTTTGTTAGCACAAAAAAGTATCTCAGATTTTTAAAATTGAACCGAGGTGGTTCCAATTCGACTGGATAATTTCGTACTGTCTTAAGAAGACATTAAAATCGAAATACAGTAAATTCTCCCTAACTGATGATTAGATTGTCTCTCGATTATTCGATACTTGTGGCTCGTTTCTATAGTTACCGATTGTCAAGGTTATGTCAAGGTTATGTTTTTTTGTCATATTTAAAATAACGTATTTTATAAAATTATTTCAATTATTTTTTATTTTATATATATAACACGTCAACACGGTGTTGCATGTAAGAAACACTTTCGTTGGAAAGCTTCTGTGAAACGATTTTCATTTATTCGAAAACAAGATAAGAAGTTGTTCCTTTCGACGGCCAGATCTTCCGTTTCCGAGCACGTTGCTCGCGTCTGAGGTTCGTTAAGGAAGCGTGTTGCGTCAGCCATGGGACTCGATGAATTTTTTCTACCAGAGGACAGTGTCATTCGTCGTGGAATCGATCGCCTCGTTTGAACGACGATGCGCAGTGTCTGCGACAAGCATGTCTATGCGCGCGTGTGTGCGTGCATAGGCGAGCATGTGTGCCGTTATCGATTACGGCCTAACACTTGGCCGAGCAACGCGGATTCGATTATTCGCCCCGATGTAAAATCGAGGAGGGTCGGGTCTCTCTTTTTCCCTGAGCATCGCCGTTCAAACGTGGTCACGTCTAGCGTAACGTTTGTCTATGAATGTCATTAGCGTAACAGAGATTCCACCACCGTAGTTCACGCTGTTTTACCGACGGGAACTGCTACTTTCGTTCGAGACGCACGTGTACCGATGTACCGTCCTCTCGTTGGAACATGGCAGACTCGACAAACCTTACGCGGGTACACTCACGACGGTGTACCGTTTTTCATACGGCTCGACAGAGAAAGACTCGACTCGTGGTTCCATACTGATCTGTCGAAAGGAATTGTTTATTTTTTAATGTTTTACAACCTCCGGACAAACGCACGTTCCATGGGATGTTGACGGGCCAACTGTGATTCAGAGAGAAGCGAAATATTTTTAATGGGAATGTGATAGTTGTCAATTTAATGGAAATTAGAATTTCGAAATTTAATCAATTGAAGGAAATTAGTTCGAATAAATTGACGGTTTTTGGATGTAAATTTATTGGTACTGAAAATTTTAAATCAGAAATTAATGTAGGTCACTGACGAGGTAAAGGACTAACGTTTAACGTATTTTTCTATCCGGAAATGATAGGGCTCCGGGCTCCGTTACCATTTCCATGTGACACGCGACATTATCGACGATTCATGAATTTGGACGTGTTAGCAAAAATCGAGTGTCGGTATACTAGATCTCAGCTACGAACTTACACTTATTAGTAAAAATCGAGTGTCTGTATAGTCCATTTCAACTACGGGTTAACACTGTCGTCCACCGACATCCTCTCGTTGATGTGTTTATAGCTGAAGTATTGATGCAATTAGAATAGAAGCACATGTCCACAAACATGAGGATAATATATATGAGGATAATTCCTCAGCATAAATGAATATACTAATTGATAACTAATCCTTCGTGAGACTTTTTCCAACCAAATTTTATTTCAAATAACAATTGAGTGGCGCATACTTAATTTTGAAATTATTGCTGTACGAAACACTTTTTCATAAAACTAAAATAGCTTAAATAATAAAATTTCTTTAGTTATCACAAATTTAGCGTTATTTAATAAGTATGCATTTTTGAAGCCGCCCTAATTTGACTATTGTTTACCAATGCTACTTCAAAGAATAGCTTCTCCACTGGCCGTTATAAATGTGGAGAGGACGCTACAATCAGTCGTCAAAAATATCGAGTCGATAAAGCAGTCGGACAGCTGATAAGGGTTGTTTTTGTATCTCGTCAGTGACGTCGGGTCACATCTGGCCTAACCAAAAATTGATTATTTTTCTAAATTCGACACTGTTACTAAGAACATTCGATGGGGAATATACGCATGGTGTTCAAATGCATCTCGGTCTAAAAAATATTTACGAAGTTTTTCAAGCTAACCTCAAGTTAACTTTTGGCGATCGAAATGAAAGTTCGAAATTTGGTCGCAACGCGAAATATTTTCGGCATCCACGAACCGCAACACAAAATCAGCCACACGAGTCGAGTCTCCGAAGAACGTCGAGGTCCGAAACGGTGAGAGACCTCTCGTTGGTCTCACCGTGGGCAGTTTTACACCTCTCTTTAAATCTGTTGAGACTCGTATCTGTTCAAACTTTGTGTCCCGATCCCCAAAAATCGCATATACTTGGTACATGCCACGAAAGAAAAACCAAAAAGAAAAAGCACGAAACCA